TCTGTTCCTCATGTCAGAGGCGGCCATTTCATATTAGAGCTAATTATAAAATTGCTATAAAGTATAAAATAAGAATATAAACAGTAGCGTTTCTTTATTAACACATTGCTACTGTGAATATACTTATTTTATAATGGAGCTAAGTCGACCTGCTACTGAGTAGTGCTCCCAGCCTTAATGACAAAGGCATTCCACTTCACTCAGTCATGATGGTTATCAATTCTACAGGCTTGATACCGTAATATGATTGAAAGGAGATATGAAAGAAGAAGACTAATCCTGATAGATCATTAGAATTCTAAATATGCAAACAAAGACTGACCTATTTCAGATACATTATGAGAGAGAGAGAAAATGGATTATAATAGATATTGATGTTGGGAAAAATTGGAGAAGTAATAGAGGGAAAAAAAAAAAGACCTCCAATGAAAGGGGTCAAGGAAGCTTGGGCAAGGAGGGTAATTAACAAATCAAATTGGAGAATATTTGTCCATTTAGTCACCAAGTCAAACTCTACTTGAGGGACACACTAACAACAATATTCCTTAACATAGGATTGCAGCACTTTATACTTCCATGTAACAACATAATTGTTCATTCTACAAATATAGTGTACATTTCAAGGTTTATTCTAATAGTGTAGATCTTAAATTGGCAAAATCAATGGGAAGGTTCAACACTGAGATGAGCAAAACCCTCCCAAATCTTTTTCACTTTCAATTTACTAATCCTAGAAATTTGTCTTCTATGATAAAAAGGGCTGAATAAAACCATCCTCAATTTAAAGTATTAGATTAGAAGAGCAAGTTGTAAAATACTGTCACCCTATTTGTATAATAGCACAATATTCGTATATTTCATGGGAATATAGGGATAATCATATTTAAATACAATTGTATTCCCTATAGATGTGGCAGAGTGTGAATATATATAGAAATAATGTGAGTAGAGCTCATCAATGGATGAGTCAATACAGTCAATGATGTGGTTTACAGGTTGAGAATTGCACTTAGTACATAGTGGGAAAACTTTGCAACCTTTCTGTAAAGTCATTGTCCGTAGATGACTAGACTTAAGTCTGGAAACAAAGACTGTTGTTCTTTTGTGAGGACAGAATTGGTGCTTGTCCCTCCTGCTCTGTATTAGTCATGTGCAGCAGCAGATTTGCTTTCTTGCAGGTCTTGATGGTATGGAAGAAGTCTCTTTTGTCTAGCTTTGGGTGGTAGATTAACATTATGGTAATAGGGTTTAACAAACATATGGAAAGATGCTTCAGTAATTGCCGAAATTTCACAAGTTTCCAAGGTGTAGAAGGGCATATGAGCCCGAAAGCTTGTTTTATAATTATGAAATAAAAGATACGCAGCCCTAGATGCTTTGTTTTAACTTATTTATGAATTTAACAGCGTTTTTTCTATTGATCTTAAAATAAAAGTGATTTATTCAACATTCTATATATAAGAGACCACTTTAAGACGATGAAAGCAATATTTTAGGCAGTTCCTCTAATGGCAGATGCTACTTACTATAAATGTGTTTAAAAACAGCTACAATTTGGATTAAATTTGGATTAAATATCAACTAATGATTATGAGCAACATTTATGAGCATAAGACAATTATACCATGCTTTTACCTACCTATCAATATATTTATTACATTACAATTTAAGATTGTCATGAAAGACTATATATAAAAAAGAGATAACATTTTTAAAATGACAAGTTTATTTTAACATGACAAAAATTCAATTGTATGAATAATGTTTTAAAAAAATGAAAGTGTGTGAGGGGTGGGGAAAAAAATCAAATTTAAAATATGTTTCATTGAATGGTAAGTGGGGGGAAGATGGATCCAATCAGAGGGAGAGTTGTCCAGTGGTAGCAGTTCTGGCACAACAGCCGCGGGTGGTGGGAATTCAAGGCCATGTGTGGTCCATCACTGGTAGTAGAGTTCCAAGTTCATTCCGTCTCTGATCTCATCTGTAACGGCCAGTCAAGGAACACAGCAAACATGGATGGAACCTCCCATGAGAGAGATAAAGACAACATTAACATTGCCAAATCTTGATATGGTACACAAGTTGGATTATAAACACAAGATAATAAGACCAAATCCAAATAAATAAATAGTGTGTGACGTTTCAGTAACAGCGTCGTTACCATCAACAGACAAAAGTACTGAATGAGAAATAAATCACAGCATTTTTTAAAAATAGTTATACTGTTATCAATTACAGTTATCTTGTTTACACTCTTGATAATAGTAACTATTTAAAACATGCTGTGATTTATTTTCTCATTCAGTACTTTTGTCTGATGATGGTAACAACACTGCTACTGAAATGGCATACCATTTTATTTATTTATTTGGATTTGGTCTTATTACCCCTTATTGCCAAACCTTAGAATTGAAAGCCCAAAACATAATTGTCTAATATATACAGCTAGCCCAGTGTAACTTCTTCCATTGCTGTTGTTATTGTTTCTTATCCCCTTGTGCAACGATTACATGTTGTTGTTGTTATATACAAGTTACATACAAGGTGGTAACAAAGGAAGGTGGTTGCGCATGGGAAGATTTACGGAGAAAACTACAGGTAAATAAAGATGTACACATTGTCAATAATACATTATTTTGAATACAACTGAAAAAGATCAAATCCTCAAATAAATAAATGTGATCTTAATAATACCAATCATGATTAGAGTGGATTTTGTGATACTTTTTAAAAAGTATATTTCACTCAGATTTGAATTTAGGATCCGAGTGGATTCAGAATTCAGTGATGCCACAGACACAAGTGAAGAACAATATACAGTTAAACCTGTCTAAAGCTCCCCCTCTAAATAGCGCCTTCCTCTCTATAGCGTCCGATTTTAAACCTTAATATGTAAACATTTTACATTAAATGTGACAAGTCTATAGCACCCCCTCTCTATAGCACCCTATTTTGGTGAGTCCCAAGAGGGGGCGCTATAGACAGGTTTAACTGTATATATATATATAATTTTTTTAAATCTTGAAAAAGTAATTTCTAAAGAGAAAACAACAACTGCATCTCACAGATATATTTATAACTTGAGTCAGCATCCACATCAACTCTATTTTAGAGATAAGAGATGAGAATAGTAGATAAGACACAAACTGCTTAATTGCTTTTTCATAACAATGACTTAAGAGACTAGAACAAAGATAGATGAAATCAGGAAAGTATAAAAAAAGACTGAGCACTTTAAAGTGAGATATGTGGCACATTCTTACACTTATTTCTTAAACAACAATTATCTCTAGCATTTCTAAATGGAAGCAAAGGCTGAACCCTCTTCCCTCCTGTGGTTTCCCCAGTTTACTCCCTTCATGGTCGGTGGAAGGCTGGTTAAACCGTTTGGTTTACGACCACAACGACCCGGGTTCGATCCCCGCATTGGACACTTTTTTCTGTTTAAAAAAAAAATGCTCCAATGGCCCCCCGATTCTTGCAAAAGTCCAACCCCACCAGCGAGTGCAAGTAACCAAACGGGGCTCTGGCACATTTGTAAGTGAAAAGTCGAACTGCTTTCACATGTGTAGACATGTGGTGTGCTTACAGTAAAAAGCAGTCGCTAACTACCCACCATGATTATCATGGCCTGTACCACGTGTACTAGGGATAAGCAAAAAAAAAAACTCCCTTCATCAGCCAAATATAATTATTGCCTTGATGATCTGCATCCTTGGAAATATAACATATTGCTTGTTTACTCATTTTTTCATCACACTCCTCTTCTTCTTTCTTATCTCCTCTCAATCATATTAGGGTATCAAGCTTGTAAAGCTTGAGACTTTTGATAGTATCTGCCGGGGATGAGTAGAGCTCATCAATAGATGAGTCAATACAGTCAATAATTTGACAACCATCGTGACTGAGTGAAGTCACACTCCTATTGTGGCCCAACCATGACAACTACATACAAAAATATCTTACAGAGTAGAACCCCTCCCATGAAAGACCTAAAATCTTGGATATTGGCCCTCTTCCACAGGTAGTCATTCATCAGAGGTTGGATTAGATCACAGGACACGTCATATAGATGGAAAGAAGATCACAATAACAAACACAGGACAAGCATTAGAATTGCTTTAAACAGAAAAGACATGACTTGATTTCCTTATTATAAATGGGCCATGCATTAAAACCATCACATTTGAGTAAAAAGAAAAATACTTTCCCTTGTGTATACTAAATGCCACAAGGAACCATATTCTTCCCAGCATTGGATCAGATAAATCACACACATATCTTTACACCAACAGTTCAACACAATAATAAACCACATCAAAACCCATTCATTGCCTTCATGAAGTTGCCTCAGGCACTGATATTAGAAAGATTTAATTTATAAGTTTTTCCAAAAATGGCCACTCAGGGAAATGGTCAGAAATCAGGGGTCAGTAAGGAAAGAGAAGAGATGGAAGAATGAGATATAACAAGGCATGCAAAGAAGGAACATTTATCTAAGGATGATAGCATGATGTGAGCTACAAGATAAAACGTATTTATGGAACAAATTGTAAGTAAAGGATACAGTCTCCAAGAGTGATGTGGTCCTTGAAGATGGTGTACCTGAAACCACACAACCACAACTACAACATATGGTTTACAATTATAGGTCTGGTATTTTAATATGTTCACTAGGCCAATAAAAATTAGCAAAATGGTTGATAGATCAACAGTGGCCAACTTTTCTTTATTGATGGGAGTAGGATAGATGGCTTATAATTTATTTTTTTAAATTATCCCTAGTACACGTGGTACAGGCCATGATAATCATGGTGGGTAGTTAGCAACTGCTTTTACTGTAAGCGCACCACATGTCTACACATGTGAAAAGCAGTTCGACTTTGCACTTACAAATGTGCCAGAGCCCCATTTGGTTACTTGCACTTGCTGGTGGGGTTGGACTTTTGCAAGAATCGGGGGGGTCATTAGAGCATTTTTTTTTTTTAATCAGAAAAAAGTGTCAAATGCGGGAATCGAACCCGGGTCGTAGTGGTCGAAAACCAAACGATTTAACCAGCCTTCCACCGACCCCTGTGGCTAATATGATAAATACAAAAAGCAACAACATCAATAAGCTACACATATGCTGAAGAAATGTGTACACATACACAACTATATATATTCCCCTATATTTTATCTACCCTTTATTTACTAATTTATTATATATACCTTTGTAACAATTGATTAGAAGAATCAATAAAATTGTTTAAATTGTCACTATGCTACACAGGGTGTTGAAATCCTATCATTTATACATTTCTGAATTCAATCTTTATTTATGCAAAATAATCCAAAATCTCTCTAAATGCATTCATTGTATTTTATAAAATCTTTCAATATGTAAATTCAAGCAGTCGGTGATCATGTTAATTCAATGTTTAAAACCTCTCTCTGGTAGCTTAATTCTAAAACTTAACAAACCAGGTATTTCAAATCAAGTGGCTTCTCTATATTGTTTATTGAACATTCAAGCCATTACACAGGGTATTACAATTTATCATATTAGCCAGAGGGGGGGTCGGTGAAAGGCTGGTTAAACCGTTTGGTTTTCGACCACTACGACCCGGGTTCGATTACCGCATTGGACACTTTTTTTCTGTTTAAAAAAAAAAAAATGCTCCAATGGCCCCCGATTCTTGCAAAAGTCCAACCCCACCAGCGAGTGCAATTAACCAAACGGGGCTCTGGCACATTTGTAAGTGCAAAGTCGAACTGCTTTTCACATGTGTAGACATGTGGTGCACTTACAGTAAAAGCAGTCTCTAACTACCCACCATGATTATCAAGGCCTGTACCACATGTACTAGGGATAAGCAAAAATATATATATATATTAGCCAGTCATGTTATAGATTATCACCAGATTACATTTCCATAGTTAAAATCATAAATAAACAAGAGAGATAAAAATAAAGGTTAATTATAATAGGTCAAAACTTAGTTTTCTTCACAAGAGAGGTAGTCAGTAACTCTTCTTGGGTTAGTACTAAATACTCTAGCCGGATAACAATGCTGTTAGCTAAACTTGCAGAGGGGGAGTTGAATCCTAACATGTGGGTCTCCAGCCAGTGTTGGACAAAATGTAATCATGATTCCATTTTCTATAATTACAAGTCTTCTTCTATCTTATATTGGGTGAAGTAGAATACATCCACCTCTCTTCTTTATATTTTAAGACTGGGAGGAGTATTCAGTAGCTAGTCGACTTAGCTCCAACATTAAATAACCACCTCTGATATGAGAAACAGACACCATGTTCAGCCGCTCCTAACATGGAGTATATGGGCTGCTCATCCTGTATCCCTGGATTAGGAGACCTCACAAGGTACTATCAGCCAGGCCAGCTGAGCCCAGGTTTTTTAGCGAGCTTGTTACTACTTTCCTTCCTCCTTTTTGATCCAGGCTTGGGAGTTTATATAATTACAAGTAATTGATAAAGATACAATTTGTATTATAGATTAGAAACATAATGTAATAAGACCTATCCAAATTAATATATTATTATACACACACTATTAAATTGGATTGTACCTTATCAACAATTACTTGTAATTATAGAAAATATAATCTTGATTACATTGCCCAACAATGATCCCTAGATAACTGAGAGGGCCATCAGATACGGTGGTTTGCTGCAAATATCTAAAAGGCAGTCCCGAACCAACAGCCCCAGTCACCAAAAGAATGGTGGGTTAGCTTGTGGTGGAGCTAGATAAATTAAACGCTACAAAAAAATTAATGGCGATACTGGGTGAATTATGTGCTGCCACATTAAAAGTAAGCACTCTCCCAGCTGAATCCATTCTGCATGCCTTGTGGATTTCATAGAATAAAGCTAGCCTTGGATTCATGAAGCCATTTCCCAAAACCATGGTTTCCAGTTGGCGATGGTCAATTGAGGGCATCAAGTTTGGACTTTTTATTATTATAGATTATTTATGTATGCAAAAACTAATTGCAACATTTACAAGGTTTTTTTCTTACTAATATTATTACTTATTTAGTTAACCAGGTTCAATTCTAGTTTTATTTACAAGCCAATATGATAAGGTACAAAATTTGGATTATAGATCAAAACATGGTAACATGACGAGTGCAAGCCCAATTTATGTGGTGGCTCTTGTTTTACAAGTTCATACAAGCACCCTATACATCACCCCACTTTCCTAAGAGGTATTTATAAAAAATCAACAGTTTTTGAAACAATAGCTATGTCTTTGAAAAAAACTTTGGAAATGAATGAGTGAACATAGATCTTATGAACCTCTTTCTTCATTGTATTAATTTGTAAAGAGGGGCTTTATGGTCATACTCTGTATATAGTAGAACCTGTCTTGGGAGATTTCCTGTCTTAGGAGCCAAATTGTAGTGGGTACCACATTTATTTCTCATTAATTTAGCTTTCTTAGGCATCTAAACCTGTCTAACTCATCCACCTCCAAATTTTTCAATCTGCCTGAGGGCAAAATGGGTTGAATATCCTATATTAAGAGCATCATTGAATTTGGATTGGAGAGAAGAAAGAATAATTTTTAGATTTAGTTTAACCAAATTCAACCTGTCTTGCAAGTGCATTTATGCTAAGAAAAATAAAATGAGAATTCGCAAGACAGATTTTACTGTGAAATGACAAGCCAAACTGTGTAAGTCAGAGCAACTCACCATTTCTTAAGGACAATCTTGTCCCATCTGGTCCCTGTCTGGGCAGCTATCAGTTTCTTCACGTCACCAATAGTGTCCTCTGGACTGGTGGAGGGGTTAAGGAACAACACAGGAATTATATACATACACACAAAACACTTTTTTAAAGTTTTATAAAAACACAGCAGATACTGCAGACTCTCCAACTTGTACTTAGAGAGGCATATCTCCTTTTACATATGCATCACAGATTTAAGTCTGGTTATCTATTGACAATGACTTTCCAGAATGGTTGCAAGGTTTTCCCACAATGTACTAAGTGCAATTCTCAACCTGCAACCCACATTATTGAATGTATTGACTCATCCATTGATGAGTTCTACTCTTCCCCGGCAGACACCATCAACAAGCTTTACAAGTTTGATAACCTAATATGAATGAGTGGAGATAAGAAAGAAGAAGAAGACTTATGCATTAGAATGATGTATTATGCTCATCACCCTAGTAAAAATATTTACTATTACTAATGAAAAAACCATGGTATAGAGTTGGCTTTTGTCTGAATTTGTCTGATTATTAATATATATAGTCACGACCGTCTTTCCTCATCGGCCGGCCGCCTCTGTCACGGATGCGCGCGCACAGAGAGGTCACGTGCTCACCGGCTCCCTCGGGCGGATTTGAACCAGCGACCTAAGGATCACCGTTGTAACATCTACAGTCGGGTAAAACACGGGCGTTGCCCGGGTCATTCGGCTAGTAGATTATAAACACAAGGTAATAAGACCAAATCCAAATAAATAAATAGTGTGTGACATTTCGGTAACAGCGTTGTAACCATCTTCAGACAAAAGTACTTGAATGAAAACCGAAACGTCACACACTATTTATTTGGATTTGGTCTTATTACCTTGTGCTAAAAACTGGTAATGTGGCTCTTTCTTCTTCACCATTAGTAAAGTTTTTTTACCAGGATGATGAGCATAATGCATCGTAAAGGGAGAGATGCCTCCTAGGTACATGAATTCTCCCACAACTTTATGTTATAATCTCCAACTTCCTACTAGAAATTAGTAATTATAGAGGGGGTCGGTGGAAGGCTGGTTAAACCGTTTGGTTTTAGACCACTAGGACCCGGGTTCGATTCCCGCATTGGACACTTTTTTCTGTTAAAAAAAAATGCTCCAATGGCCCCCGATTCTTGCAAAAGTCCAACCCCACCAGCGAGTGCAAGTACCTAAACGGGGCTCTGGCATTTGTAAGTGCAAAGTCGAACTGCTTTTCACATGTGTAGACATGTGGTGCGCTTACAGTAAAAGTAGTCGCTAACTACCCACCATGATTATCATGGCCTGTACCACTTGTACTAAGGATAAGCAAAAAAAAAAAGTAATTATAGATTTGAATAATAAATTAATATTTATGTAATTTTGGTGTTAAATACCCATTTCTTGATTTCTCAAGAAGCCTCTGAGACCAAAAATATTTTTGGTCGCAGTGGTTACAGCCTACTCCACACTGACGAGCGCCAACAGCGTGAAACACGTTCGTGGATGGCTTTTCATGATTTATCAAGAAATTGGGTTGTCCAAATATCACTAAGCAAGTTAAATAAACGTTTAGTTTATTTTTTGCTCCACTAGATGGCGCTGTGCCATCGAAAAATTACATGTGCTCGTGGTCAGGAAATGCATTCTTTATTTTTAATAAATTAATAGTGTGCGACGTTTCGGTAACAGTGGTGTTACCATCATCAGACAAAATAATAAATGAGAAAAATATTACAGCATGTTCTTAAATAATAAAACTTAGAAAACCACTTTTTTTCTTATCTGCTATCTTGTTGACACACTTGATAACAGTACTATTTAATATAATATAATACACTGCGGCCTGTGATTGTAAAACGACACTTGAAGTTACACCGCATGAGTTTCTTTTCAATGAAAAATCTAAATTTTATTTCAAGGTGGAATATTGACTATTTCTAACCTTTTTGGATGAGGTATGAAAGGGTGAATTATGAAGAGTAATGATGAACGGAAAAATAAAAGTGTCCAGGGATGGGAAGTATTTAGTACTATTTAAGAACATGCTGTGATATTTTGTCTGATGATGGTAACAACATTGTTACTGAAATGTCATACACTATTAATTTATTTAGATTTGATCTTATTACCTTGTAGTTTTAAGCTTATAAAAAATACAGTATAACTTAGCTCAACAATGTGTCGAGAGTAAGTTACGATCATCATCACATTGACTGTTTTGTTTACCTTAGGCTGGCGAAAGTTCTGCCATAGCTGTAATTGTTCTAAGTTTAATAATTACCTTGTAAATAGATAAATAAATAAGATTAAAGATATAATCCTTAAGGTAAGAGTATCTTCTTATTTATAACAAGGCA